CAGTCTGGTTCCACTTTGGTTTAGGTGGAGCCCATTCTCCTGTATAGGCTCCCCCATCCCAAAAGTTTTCCCAGTTCCTAATAAATCTAAACCCCTCCTCTCTACACCATCCTCTCATCCACACATTGAGACTCTGAAGCTCTGCCTGTAGAAAAACATCCAAAAATGTTTAATAAATTTCAATTGGTATTCTATTGTTTAACAGTGCTATTAAAACTGCAATTGATTTTTTTAATTGTGTTTAATTTTTTTGAGTTAATCACGTGAGTTAACTGCGATTAATTGACAGTCCTAGTGATTTTTAATAATCATATTTTGCTGCATATTTATTTAGTACACAGTGTATGTATCTTTGTGTATACGTCTGTACAGATATTGAAGTTGTTTTCATAATATTTTTCTAACCAGGACTTTGATAAGTTTAGGTCTTTGTGTTTTGTGAATTATTTGTGAATCATTCCTGCTTTCTGCCAGTTAGTCATAAAATATTGGTTAGTCGTAAGTATTCACTAAATAATTTTCAGATTAAAGGTGGTTCAAAAACTGTTCACTGCAAATGCTCACTATTTGCAGTTTGTGATGCCTGGCTGTTTGTATTAGATTGTTTTGGCTGCCTGCTCAGATGGCTGACCCTTTCTAATGAAAAAAGATGAACAATAACAATGAATAACCCATTTCCAGGACAAACTGGTGAAACTTTGAGATTCACATATAACTTCAAAAATACTTAGTTGTACAAATATCTGCAATTCACAAATAATGTCACTCCATGACATCAGCAAATCAGATTCAAATAATGTATTCATTATTAGTCTCACAAATTTGTTATTATTCAACCACCACCACAGAGAATCTGTTTGAATCAAAACTCAGTTCTGTATCTCATATTTTTAAAATTGAGGAAGTCTGTGCATTTATTTCCTCCAGGTTTCTAATACCTTACAGCAAAAGCCAATTAAGTACTTACTACTATGTTGTTCAACATTTCAGTCAGTGAAGAGAAAATGGTATTTCAAGCTTATCATTTTCTCTGAGGACAAAGACTGCTACAAAATAAATACTGCAGTGGTAGCTTTCAGCTATTTACCAAGAACCATATTCTCATGTGGAAAGTGATTTGTAATGCAAACATTAAACTTGTTAGAATCAAGGCGGGACACAGGGGCTGTCAAAAGTAATTGTATTGTAGTGAAAACTGTTGAAAAGTAAAATTTCTTCAGGTAAGGATTCATGAAACTGTGAAATTCTTCAGGAAGTCCTGGAAATCTGCATTGCAATACCCTGTTTCCTAAGATTTCCAGAGGGATCTCACAGAATGTATAGTAAAGCTGCATTTTTTTCTTTTTGTAATTACTCTGCTCATACCAGCTGTGCGATATTCCCTCTTGTATGGATACATTCCATACAAATAATTGCAGAAAATGCTGTTTTCATTTCCTTTGGTGATGATAGGCCCAGTTGCACACATTTATTAAAACAAATAACCAGTGAATTATATATAATATGCCTATTTCATACATTGATGCAATTTGAATAATTTTAAAACATACATTCACCATGTGATGTTAAACATTGCAGTAACAAGCACAATTCCTATTGGGAATATTGAAAACAGCATCACTAGAATGATGCTATTGTAGGTCCATGTTTTGGGTGGGACACATAGGATGAAATCCTGCAGCCCTTTGGTACAATTATAGAAGCCCCCACCCTCTGTGAAGGGATCAAGAAACAGAACTTTAAAGCCTGTGTGCTACACATTCATTTTCTACTGCTGCCTTTTCCGATAGACCCACTTGGGAGTATTACATTGTTATCCATGCAGAGGGAAACCTTTTCTTCCTAGGCAACAGCTCAGTTAAAAAGATCTGGATAGCAGTTGGAGGAATTACCATGTGAAGCTGTGGTAGCAATGTACATTCTGTAGCATTGATCTAATCCTCCAATTCTAACAGTCTGCTGAAATTTTACCACTTTGTTTTCCCCAGTCCAGGATTATAGTTCCTCTAAGGTTAGCAAGGAGAAATGTTCCCTTCCCCTGAAGGGAGCAAACTAACAATAAAAGCAAATGAATTTATGCTTACAAACAGAGACAGGGCATGTGATCAACTGGCCAAACTAATTTGTAAGTTTCAGGTTAACATTAACATAAACATAGATATAAATACAATCATCAAAATTCCACTTGTGACAGTGAGTTTCTTTGTGTATAGTCTGCACTCTATTTGGAAAAAGATCCAAATAAGTAATATAAAATCAAGGCTATGTGCCCAACATTCCTCCCACATGGAGTCAATGTTGGAGCAATACATTGTCCACCAATTGCCTCTGAAGTAGATCAGTCTATCTGCCTGGAGGTATTGTATTGCTGATCTCTGCCTAATGAGACTCCTGGCCCCAGTGGCTCTAGGAGTATGAAATATACCCTTTGTTGGTGCTTCTCCTCTGTTGTATTTTTCCCCTCCCTGTATGTGTTTTAAAAAGACAAAGCAAGCCAGCCCCAGACATCAGTGACCATAAGTGTAAGTTCAGAATTTCAATAAATCAAATTCCTATATGTTTAGGACCAGACCCCTAGCTGGGGTAAACTGGTATTAGCTCCATTTAGGTCAATTTAAGGTCCATTTAAAACAATGAAGCTAGGCTGATTTACATCAGATAAGGATCTGAGATTTATAATCTATTAAAACGATATATTTATACAAATTACTCCAATCTAATACAACTCTTTTTCCCCTTTATTATTGATTTCCAAATCAACCTGCATCACTGAAAAAATAATGCATAGTGTGTAAGTTCTTAACATTTTTCCCCCAGGTCCACTTCCCTTAATATGATTTCAATCACTTCTTCAAAAATAGTAAGTTCCCATTATACTTTTTTAAAATAACAAAATAATCTAACTCATACAAAATCTTTCCACTAAATACTCTATCAGCATATTCTTATAAAAGCATAATTCATCTGAATTACCACATAAAACAGTATGTACAACACTCAGATATTTTTGAGGCAGGCCCCCCCAAAAAACATGAGATTGACTCAGAAATTGAGATTTTTATAACATAATATATATTGGCTTTTTACTTGCCTTCTGGTTTTTGAGTCTTTAGATTCACATTTTCAAGCTTTTCTCCAAAGCCATGAGAGCTAATAGAAACTTACTTAAAAAAATAAAGTAAAAGCCAATATTTTCATGTAATCACATGACTCCAGGAGCTAAGGCTTTAAGAAAAATGACAAATATTGTGAGACTGAAAAAAAAATCTCAAGCACTGCAACACTTAACTCTTTAGCTTCAGCAAGAAATAACATTTACTCACAAGACACAATCCATTTAGATTTCTTTGGGTTCAAATCTCTTGGTTTCCACTCTCCTCCAACTTTATGGAAGGTTATTTTATTTTTTGCTCACACATCCTCTTAGTGGCACCTGATCAAATAAAATAGCTATTTTACATATATTCTTCTCCTGTCCCTCCCCATTGTCCTCCTCCCCTACTTTACCACCCCTAATTTAATGTTATAGGCATTGTCCATGAAGTTCAAAAAGCGACAAAGAGTCCAGTGGCACCATATAGACTAACAGACGTATTGGAGCATAAGTTTTCGTGGGTGAATACGCACTTTGTCAGATGCAAGTTCAAAAAGTCCACTTAGGAATCACTTTTAAAGAGTGAAACCCTTTCAAGGGTTACAGAAACCTATGAATTCACACAAGGATAAAAAGTAACCTCTAACTTACATTTATTTTTGTTAGCAGCCTCATTTGTTTTGTTGTTTTTTTATTCCTCTGTGAATTCATTAAATTTTGCTCTGAGGGCAATGGCATTAGATGCAGTTTCAAGGAAGACATTTATGGCTACAGCCCTGGAGAGCTGACACAAGCTAAGCATCTGCTAGCATCAGCAAAATATGCAGGGGAGAATAAAGTATTTGGAGAAACATTAGGGAAGTTTGTGTCAGAGACAGCTGAGAAAGCTACCATTTTGCTACTGTTATTTAAGAAAGTTACTTTACTATCTTAATTCTTTTCATGTTTCTCCCTATCACCAGAATAACAAAGAAGAGACTCAGGTTCTGCTAGATACATCTTGCCACAGACTTTAAGAGGAAAGATTTTTAATTGCTCCTATGGGATGTCTATGAAGAACCAGCAACAGGTGGGTACATTAGAAGTGATGAGATGGTTCTGTTATGGAAATGGCAGTGCACACAAATCTCCAATATTAACTATCAAAACAGTGGTATATCATCTTTTAAACAAAGGAACCACAGAAATAGTCTCTGAACCAAAGAAATATTGAGGCCTAATATACTCTTCCTTATATGTAGATCTCACGCAGAGTGGATGGTGGAGGAATACAAATAGTACAGTAACTCCCTCACTTAAAGTCATCCTGATTAATGTTGTTTCATTGTTATGTTGCTGATCAATTAGGGAACATGCTCCTTTAAAGTTGTGCAATGCTCCCTTCTAACGTCTTTTGGCAGCCGCCTGCTTTGTCTGCTGCTTGCAGGAAGAGCAGCCCGTTGCAGCTAGTTAGTGGGGGCTTGGAACCAGGGTGGACCGGCAGCCCCCTATCAGCTCCCCCTATAGCTCCCCGCTCCCCTAAGTTCACTGTGCAGCAGCTGCCTGCAGTTCAGCTGTGTCCCTCCCCCCACTGCCATGTGCTGCTCCTGCCCTCTGCTTTGGAGCTGCTCCCCGAGCCTCCTGCTTGCTGTGCGGAGGGGGGAAGGGAAAGAAGAGGGGGGCTAATATTAGGGTGTCTCCCTCCCCCCTGCTCCTGCACCCCACTTATCCCATCTTCCATAGAGCGGGGGGAACACACCAGGGCTCAGGAGATAGGGAGCTTGCAGCAGCTGCGGTCTCAGCAAGCTGATCTAATTAATAAGGCAGTGTACTTAAAGGTGAAATGTGCATATCTCCCTCCATTCCTGCTGCCTTGTAGTGAGAGAGTTAACCCTTGAGGGCTCAGCCAATTGCTAATTCATCAATTAGCAGTAAGGGAAATATCCCACCCTCTGACTCCTCCACTTCAACCAAGCTTCACAATCATCATCACTGTGTACCAGTATTACAGTATAAGTTTTAAACAAACAATTTAATACTGGTACACAGTGATGATGATTGTGAATATAATAATCTTTTGATTGGTGAAAAAAATTTCCCTGGAACCTAACCCCCTCATTTACATTAATTCTTATGAGGAAATTGGATTCACTTAACATCGTTTCACTTAAAGTCGCATTTTTCAGGAACGTAACTACAACGTTAAGTGAGGAGTTACTGTATTAGATCTTAAACAGTTGAGGAAATTCACCATAATTAGCAAATCCTACATTTAAACATATCTCCAATCACTGGGGAAATTCATTCATCATTGGGTCATTGTGGATACAGACTAACACGGCTGCTACTCTGAAACCTGTCATTATGCAAGGCACTGAATTTAGCCGTATGGAGTGGAAATCCATCAACTTCATGAAAAAACTCCTTGCTGGAAATGGACCATTTTCATTACCACTACAAACAGTTTTTTTTCTCTATATATATCTTCCTACTGTATTTTCCACTATATGCATCCGATGAAGTAGGCTGTCGCCCCTGAAAGCTTATTCTCAAATAAATTTGTTAGTCTCTAAGGTGCCACAAGTACTCCTGTTCTTTTTGCGGATACAGACTAACATGCCTGCTACTCTGAAACCTGTTACAGTGTGTGTCTTTTAGAAAGGGAAAAGAAAATCCTATCTTTTTTCATTGTATTATGTGGAAGCTGTAATATGATTTTCCAAAATTACTACATGTTCTTTTGCATATATAAATTTCTTTGCAAAGACAAAAGTCACATGCATCAATGCACTGCTACTTTCTACATCAAGATTTGGGAATCACCAAATACTGAAATCTTCATATAGAGAGCAACATTATCAATACAAAATCCCTACACTTTGGCCAACACCAAGAGTATTCTTAAAGGTTTAATCTTTATTCAGTCCTTACTAGAATAAAATTCCCCAAAACTTCAAGAAGAGTCTTGTCAAGGAAAGAATTCAAGACTGCAGGATTTGGCCTAACTATTTCATCAGCAATAGTTTCACTGAGATTTCAGGAAGCTCACATTTATCCATACCTAAATGATCTGATAGTTAAAGCAAGCTGAAAGGAATTCATAATATGGTCACCAAACAGATAATAATGTCAGTCACTCTGCAATCCCTATGGTCAACAGATGTCTACATCCTGTGAAAAACTGTGTCATTTTCACAGGAAGTACTATGCAATCATCAAAATGGTGGTTAAGAGAAAGGATGTTTTGGGAGAAAGTATCTCTTCAAAGTTCAGCCCCTCAAAGGAAATGGCATTTGTTAGTCAATTCTTAAATCCAATTCCCTGCATCATCCTTTAATCTTGATTAGAAAGTGTACATTTTCTAGAACACTATAAGGTGGGGAAAAAATTGAACAGCAACGTAATGTTATGAAGAGTTTAATTTATACACATTTTATATGAAGTTAATGTTTTAATTGTAAGATCATGTTTCCAGAATTATATATAAAAACCAAGAGTTATGAGAGGCAACTTTGACTGACAAGTTTCCTGCTGTCCCCAATATTTTAAGAGAATAGTTGAACCTGTCTGATAGATTTGAAGGAATAATAATCCTATGAAAAGAAAATGAGGTAAACAAAAATTTTCCTTTTTGCAGCATAAGTCTAATATCAGTTTTATGATTTAACACTTATTATGCCAGTAAATTGTAATAATACAATTTGGGGACATAATGATGACTTTGAGAAATGAGAGGAAATGCAATATGAAAACTATGAATTTTTCTAATTTCAAAATTTCAGTGAAATTTGAAATTTTGATGAACCAAGCTGGGAAATGTTGTAAACATTTTTTTTAAAAAAAAATTCTCTCTTTTCAACTAACTATAAAGCTAGTCTAAATGTTACATTTCAAATTTTGATTTGAAAAACCATATGGGGAAATATTCTAAAAAATGTTTGCAATATTCGCCCTCCTCTATTTTTCTACTAACTCTAAGGCTAAATCTTAACTGAGGGGAAATGGAATAATTTGTTTGACTTTGCCAACTGTGATATAATACAGAAAAAATCATTGCACAACCCCAGTAATGTAAACAGTCAGCACCACTTGGGCTGTAAATGGAATAAGGCTAGAGCCTGCAACCCAGCCTTATGTAGTACCAGTTGCACAATGTTGCAACACTGGTATATTTTCGAAGACAAAAAAGATAATGTCTTAAATTAAAATGGCAACTGTGACAGACCCAGACCAGTGGGGTACAGGAGTCTGGTAGAGGGCAAATATACTGGTCACTGGATGACTAGTTTTCTGTTCCCTGAGTGACCAGAGAAGGGGCTGCACTGGAGTAATCAGGAACCTGCTAGAACCAGTTAAGGCAGGCAGGCTAATTAGGACACCTGGAGCCAATTAAGAAGAAGCTGCTAGAATCAATTAAGGCAGGCTAATCAGGGCACCTGCGTTTTAAAAGGGGCTCACTTCAGTTTGTGGTGCGAGTGTGAGATGCTGGGAGCAAGAGGTGCAAGGAGCTGAGGGTGTGCTGCTGGAGGACTGAGGAACACAAGCGTTATCAGACACCAGGAGGAAGGTCCTGTGGTGAGAATAAGGAAGGTGTTTGGAGGAGGCCATGGGAAGTAGCCCAGGGAGTTGTAGCTGTCATGCAGCTGTTACAGGAGGCACTATAGACAGCTGCAGTCCACAGGGCCCTGGGCTGGAACCCGGAGTAGAGGGCGGGCCCGGGTTCCCCCCAAACCTCCCAATTGACCTGGATGGTGGGTTCTTCCAGAGGGGAAGGTCTCTGGGCTGTTCCCCAACCCACATGGTGAATCTCTGAGGCAAGAAAATTCGCCAATAAGTGCAGGACCCACCAAGATAGAGGAGGAACTTGGTCACACAACATAATCCAAAATGTTGTGCCTTGCCCAGACATTGAGGCCATCTCTACACTTACTGGGGATCAACGCTGCTGTGATCGATGCAGCAGGGGTCAATGTAGTGGGCCTAGTGAAGACCCACTAAATTGACCGCAGAGAGCTCTCTGGTCAACTCTGATACTTCTACTGGAACAAGAGGAGTAAGGTAAAGTCAACAGGAGAGCATCTCCCATTGACGCAGTGTGGTGTAGACACCGCAGTAAGTCAACCTAAGCTACATCGACCCCAGCTACATTGTTCACGTAGCTGGAGTAGTGTAATTTAGGTCAACTTACCATGATAATGCAGACAAGGCTTGAGACAAACTCAAAACATATTGCAAAAACATTTCCAGGAAATGTACATAAAAATATTCATTATGAAATATAAGTAACAAAATATCTGCAAGCTCCACAGGCCCATAAAATGGCCTAAAGATTATCTTTGCCTAAACTAAACAAAAGATACAGCTATGAAGAAAAAGGATCTCCTAACACAACTAATCAGGAAATAGCATATACCAGCATAGGATTATCCTGGAGAAATGAAAATTGAAAGGATTTCCCAGCCTAGAAAACATTAACTCCAACTTTCAACCTAAGACCTGGTTGAGCAAAATAACTCAAAATATCCCTGACAACTTTACAGAATCATTGCAAACAAATTACATGTAGCCTGCAGGAGACAGACTTCATGGAAAAATGTACATTCAACATGCCAAATTTTTAGATAGTCTGTGTTTAGATATCCTTTGTTACTCATCTCTGACCTCAGCACTATAGGGCTGAGTTCTGGGGTTATAAGAACTTTGACTCCATTTCATTGCATGAAATGAATCTATTGAGGATTCAGTCATTGCAAAAGAAAGTCAGATTTCATTGTGTGTAAATCAAAGTTGCTAACATGATTTTTATTTCAGTTTCAGTATTCAGTTTCCCTTGCTAGTGGTTTTTGTTTGTTGGTTTCTTTTTTAAGGCATTATAATTTGTCATGACATTTTCTGAATGTGTGGACTACATAGACATAGATTCTGAAGGCTGTGCAGTTGAGTTTTAAGTCCACAGCTTCAAGAGAATTAATTCATGTACTAATCTATTGTGGCCTCTCTGCCCCAAAAAGCTACTCTAAGGCAGATGTATAATATAACTCCCTGGTGTTGGTAATTAGGACTCTCTAGTATATAATTCACTGCTGGCAC